AAAAAGAGCCAACCTTGTTTGTCTGTTTGTGTCTGTGTATCTGCATGTGTGTCTTTGTCTGTGTGTGTGTCTGTGTGTGTCTGTGTGAGTGTGTGTCTGTGTCTGTGTCTGTCTGTGTCTGTGTCTGTGTGTGTCTGTTTGAGTGTCTGTTTGTGTCTGTGTGTGTCCGTGTCTGTCTGTGTCTTTGTCTGTCTGTGTGTGTCTGTGTCTGTGTCTGTGTGTGTCTGTGTCCGTGTCACAGCTCAGTGTTTGAATTGTGTCACTGCATCAACTCCATCAGACTGAATCACTGTTCAGGAACATTAGGACTTTATTTAAGTACAGAGTATGGTCACATGACCTGTAGAACAGACAGAGGCACCTCAGCAGACATGTGACTCCTCCTCCTTCACCTGCTCCTCCTCCTCCTTCACCTGCTCCACCTTCTTCTCCTCCTCCTCCTCCACCTGCTCCACCTCCTCCTTACCAACTGTGGGTTGACGTTGTGCTCGTCTCGTCTACAGGTCATCATTGAAAGGTATAAAGGAGAGAAGCAGCTCCCCATCCTGGACAAGACCAAGTTCCTGGTGCCAGACCACGTCAACATGAGTGAACTGATCAAGATCATCAGGTGAGAATTCTCCTGCTTCTCAGAGAGGAGTTCGTCCGTGTTTCACCAGACGGTGAAAATTTATGACGAAACATATTTGCGGAAAAAAAGAAATTCAAATTTTTCTCTTTCCTGAATAGTTCATGTAAAGTGGATTCCATCCTAAATAAATGTCCTTGAAGAGAGTTTTTGAATTTAGATAATAACAGATGTCCTATCCTGCACTTTGCCCACCAGGAGGCGCCTCCAACTAAACTCCAACCAGGCCTTCTTCCTGCTGGTGAACGGCCACAGCATGGTGTCGGTGTCGACTGCCATCGCCGAGGTGTACGAGCGCGAGCGGGACCAGGATGGCTTCCTCTACATGGTCTACGCCTCCCAGGAGACCTTTGGCCAGTAATCCTTTCTCTTGTTCTTCAACCACCTGGCTGGTGATTGGACAATTGTAGTTCCTCGCCCCTCCTCCTCCTGACTGCCGCAATCCAATCAGGCTCCAGATCTGCAAGCAGTGAAGAATCTTCAAAAAGTTTGAACAGAACTCCGCTGAAAATTAAGACTTTTCCCATGTCTTTGTTTCTCTACCGCCCTCCTGTGGTAAAATCATGTTATGGCCGTGAAGTACATTTTATGGTTTATTAAGGCCGTTTATTTCATTGTTACAGTTTGGCTTTTATTTACTGTAGGTAAAGTTGTTTTTTGAGTCTTTTGGGGATCAGGGCTAAAGGAAAAAGTTTTCTTTTTTCTTTTTTTTTTTAATGATGTTTTTAATCACAGTCTGAGGTTGGAGAACTGATAAACTGATGTTTGCTGTGTCTCATCACCTTTTCCTCTTCCGTCTGTCTGTGTGTGTGTGTGTGTGCGCAGATTTGCGCATCTGCCTTATAGCCTTTAAAGCATCTTCTCAACTGTAACGAAAAGATGACAGGTGTGGGAGAGGAGGAAGGTCGCGTCTATTTTTTTTTGTTTTTGTTTAGAGAACTATTAGTTTTTGTTTTTTTTTAAAGTCCGGGTCGGAGTTAGACCAACGTCAGACGTGAAAGTCAGGAATTTGAGGAAAGAGGTGCAAATTCTGTGGTTGGCTGAAAAACCTCTGATTAAACAAAATAAAATGATAGTAAAACAAACACCCTTCCATGTTCCCTCACATGTGCCGTGCTGTTCAGACAGGACAGAGCGGTCGGACCTGTCAGCGAGAGAGTAACCAAGTAGTCACTAAAATCAGAGCCGTTTTTTTTTTTTTTTTTGGCTGCATGTGTAAAATAAAAATCCGAGACAGTTTTCCTGTAAATACTGACGATAGAGAGAAGAGAGTGTGACGTTCAAAATACAAATAAAATAAAAAAATCCTACTTTTCTGTGGCGTTTTCCAGAGCTTGCGGGTTCAATTCCCCAACGGCACCTTTGCTGGTCACATGTTGTTTTGGTTTTTTTTCCAAAGGGCTTCACTCTGAAAGAAATGAATATGTGTTTGATTGTTCTGACGTCTTTCATCACCATCATCATCTGTTTTTATTTGACAGGATTTTATCGTTTAGTTTAGTTTTTAAATTTAACGTCTTTTTCATTTCAGGCGGTTCTTCACCGTCAACGGTTTGTAAATGTTCTGTGTGTGTGTGTGTGTGTGTGTGTCTTGCAGAGGATTGAATCATCTGTGATTTTCAGACACACACACATCAGCTATATCCTGCAGTTTTCACTCATGTATTTATGGTTTTTGTAAGCAATTAAGACAGAAATAAACAATAAAGAAAAGTAAATACTCCCACTGTTTTGCCTTCTGATTATTTTTAAAATGTTTTATTATATGGTACACGTTTTACAACAATGTACGCTGCGCATTTATTTTAATGTTATTTATTTCTAAGCTACAGCCAGCTGAAAAAGTTGACCTTTGAAAACCTTTAAAATGTT